ATCTACACTTAAAATTATTCTAGCACCGTTTACACTGTGTGCTTAATGTAAAAATCACCAAAAATAATTTCCCCCCCTAGATCCTACAAAAAAATAAAATAAAATAAAAAAAGTCAGAGCTCCTTGATGCAGTCAAGCAGCTGTGAATGACTCCGTGACCAGCAGTAAGATGACAAAAATGTGCCGTCTTTTTGGCTGAACTGCAGGCTGTGTTTACATAGAGCAGAGAGATGACAAGAGAATCTGAGAGAAAATTCACACACACTGGATCAAAACAATAAATGCAGCATGGCCCTATGAACAATATACAGAGGAGCAGGTCATCAGCAAGTTGTTGGAAGATACGTTCAGCCTGGTGAAATATCTTTCTACTGTTCATGCACAGAGTAGTTTGTAAAACACAGAGTTTATGGAAGCTGTAAAATGTCATCAATAGTTAAATGTCTATAGCAGGTGGAGCTGCCGTTTTTCTGTAATATTTATTACACATGTGGCCACTTGGGGAAATGCTTTGAAAATTAAACAACACAAATCAAAAAAATGTGTTTCTGTCATTTCAACTGTGTCATACTGTACAGAAGACTTCTTTGAGTTCCCTCTACTTCCAGCCATGGTTGTATGAGACTTTATATTACAGTAAAAATGAGCGTAGAGTGAATGAAAATGTAACAGGAGCAAAAATTGCATAGAAACTGCTCATAGTTTAGAGAAATAAAACGTTTGTACATCTAGCATTTTGTGAAACGCTGTCTGTTTTTGATGCCCATTTCACTAAGCTCTCCCTTATACAATAAGTAATAAGGAAATAAGGTAATAAGGCAAGGAGTAGCAGCAGAAGACTGCTACAGAGACAGTAGAAGCAGGAATAATAGTGACTGACGGTGGCAACAGTACTAGTGGAAGTAGGACTCTAATAGATCATGATGGTGAAGTTGGTGAACAAAAACACAACACAACATTTCAAGGAAACAAATACACACACACACACAGAAATTATGCATGCCCTGTATCACCAAAGGCTTCAATAAAGGAAGCCTCACAAACACTAAAAACACTGAAAACTCATTTAGAGGAACGGAAAAAGATATCACATCCACAGAGGGAGAGAGAAGGGAACAGATAAGGGTAATTTCCCTTCCTACCTCCCCATCTTGTGCGCCAATGTGCCGAAGATGTTGGTTCCAATAAGGTAGGAGATGGACGCTGGCAAGAAAGCGACGCCTGGGCCACAGACAGACACACACAGAGACATGAGAGTCTGAAGGTGTGGGCAGGATCTCCAAGATAAGCAGATCTCTATCAGCGGCTCATCACAGGGCTGCTGTACATCTTCCATTGTCTGTAATGAAGACTTGCGCTTTCCACCTGCCAGCATGTGACACTCTAATATCCTGTTCCGCTCTCAGCCTTTTTATCTGACCCAGACTTCATATACAGCTGACGACAGGAACAAACTAATATCACCAGACTGCTGGATGCCTCACTATAGAATCTATGTGGTAGGAAGACATTTTATACAATGTTTATGGAGGTATAAAATCTATATATCATCTAAATGAGAACAGAAAAAAACAGTGTTTCATTGACTGATGGTGTTATTTGTTAACTGTATGCAAAACGTTTTGTGCAGCCTTTAAAAACTGTAAATTTTGTTGACTTTTGAAGTGAAAAGAAATGAACAGAAACCCTGCAGCAAACAGTCATTAATGAGTGTTTCAGAAAATGTGAATGTGCCATTTGTGTTCTTTCATGAACTTATAAACTGTGGCAAGTGCAAATGTTTTGACACTTTACTGAGTCAGAACCTTCCTTTGGCAAATATCACAAACAACACACCACTTTTCCAATTTTCACCCATTTTCTGGATCGTCTCAAGTTGTGAAATACTTCTCTGTCTGTTTTGGATGATTGTTGTGTTTTTGAAGCCAGCCTCTTTCAGGTGTCACTTTTTTGACTGTGTGATATTAGTTTGGAATCGCATCACATTCACAAAAGAATAAAAAAAATGGTGTAATCATCTTGTGAATCTTTTAAACTCAGGCATGTTTTGGGGTCTGTTGAACAGTAAGTATATATAGTAAATATGTATATTGAGTCATAATTACAAACTGAGGACATACCTACTGTCCCATATGTATGGGAATTATCAGAAATGACACGACCATTTATTAGTCTGATAAAGTCCAAATAGAATAAAATAGAATAGAATCGAATAAAACTTTATTGATCCCTTCGGTGTAAACCTCAGGGAAACTGTTAAATTTAAATTTAAATAAATCAGGTCACTATTAAAATATACTGAATGACAAACTTGAGCTGATATGAAACCTTCTTGTTTATATATATTTTTAGGCGCTACTGCATCATTAAACCTCAAGTTGGCTATACTGGAGAAAAAATACTGTAACTGCAACTTGGATGATGAAGTGAATGCTACTGTACAAGTCAGAGATCTGTACTAACAATAACACTGATGTTACTTGAAAACTCTTTCCATGGAGGCACCTTTAGGAAAATGTAAAAACTTATTTCAAATATAAATATTTAAATTATTGAAAAAAATCTAACGTGTATCGGTCAATTCAATCTTACAGTAATATATGTATATACAATAAAATAAGCTGTATGGGTACCTCTCCAATAATTAGAATTTGGTGAAAAAGTTGATTTCTTTCATAATTTAATGCAGAAAGGTGAACTTTCATATTGTCTATCTTTACTACATGTAAAGTGAAACATTTCAAAATCTTTTTTGTTTTAATTTTGATGATTTTGGTTTATTGCTCCTTAAAATCAGAAATCTAATACCTCAAAATATTAGGATAGCCTTTTCAGCAATGAGCTTCTGTGTTCTATCCTATTTGTGGCGGGAGTCAATGATCATCTTCTGGATAACTTTGAAGTCAGCAGTCTTCCCCATGTTAGTGGTTTTGTGTACTGAACTAGACCGAGAGATACACAGTATTTACACTAGTTGAATAGTAGTGTAATATGAAGCTCTGAATGAATTAGTTTGGCTCAGATGGAGCACAGAATATCTGGTTTAAACCTAGCCAGGGCTACCACAGTGAATGCATAGTTCTGACAGTAAAGCACGAAGGTGGGGGAGTGATGATATGGGGCTGCATGAGTGCAAACTGTGCTAGCTAGATGACATTTCTAGATGGCTCTATGAATGCCTGAGGATGTGCCAAAATACTGAGATGTTGAGTACCAGTCTGCAAAAGCTTGATAGAAAAGGAATATTCCTGCATGAAAACCATCCAAAGCCAAGTCATGTCAAAATCATGTAAGAGTTTAGAAAGAAGGAATAACTGAAAATTATGACAAGTATGTCTTCTGACTTAAATCCAGTCGGACATATTTGAGATATTTTGAAGGCAAAGGTTGACATATACCCCAAGAATGGCAGAATATCCCTGCAGAAAAATGTGTAACCCTGGTAACCTCCATGCTGGGGAGGTTTGAGTGTTTCATCAGCAGTAAAGGTGGACACAAGAAGTACTGGAAAAAGGAAAGATATGAATCTAATAATATGGATTAAGTGTACTGACTTAGGTTGCATCAAGCTCCTACTGTGAGACGTATTTTTAATATAGTAAATCTAAACGGTTAGTGTTTTTTCATAAAAACTAATTCCCAACGGTTCAGTTTAGAAGTAATGTTGGCAGTTTAGAACAGCCCACACTTCTAGTTAGGGCTTTGTGTGGATTTGTTTGTGTGGGCTCTCCTATGTGTGTGTATGTGTGTGTATGTGTATGTGTGTGTGTATTTCTTAGGTGCCGTAACAACATACTGACTGTGTAATGTGTATTTTCCACGTGTACTGAACAGAGCATACCTAGCTGCCATTTCCTGGCACACATGGTCTCCATCATCCAGATTGGCAGCGTTGGCTCCATCATGGCAATAGCCATATTTCCAAAACAAATGGCACCTGGGGATGAAGATTGACGATAAGTGGGTGCAGGGTCAATTATAATCTGTCTTTCTTCTTTGTTGCTTATGTGTTATATTTCCAGTGCACGACTACCTACACTGACAAACACATACACACATACAAACACTGCTCTCTTGTCACTGTGTTGTCACATAACTAATGTGTGGTAAAGCTCACGCACATACAGACGCAATTCCACAAACATTCATATAACTCTGCTTGTGAGAATCATGTCATGGCCATAGCCTAAAAAGACATCTCTGAAATTTTGCGATTCAGTCTAATTAGTGACCTGAGACTTTAACACAGTCTCAGGATAAGTCATGAAGGTTCGTCTTTGCAGGAAGAACAGAAGATCTCCAGTTTGGCTCAGCTGTGAAAGCTTGTTGTAAGTAAAGAGGAGTGTGTCATCGTTAATGTGATATAAGAAGTATCAACAGCTTCTTCTAAAATCTGTTACAAATTTAAAAAAGAAAAGAAAAGAAAAAGGATGTCTCTCCATTATATACATTTTGTTCATAGTAACTGTTGTCCTCTGTTCATATTGTGCCGGTCTGTTCACTGCAGAGAATCACCTCCTTGTATCAGTGCAGAGCTTTGTTACGCTCTGTAAGCCCAGCAGCTGTGTTGTTGGGGACAATAGCAACTAGGATGCTCTTGTAAACTGGTCCCAGGTAAGAGCCCAGACTGAATGGATATAAAACCTTACCCAGGCCTAGAAGGAGGGCTTGTAAGAGAATGGCTGGACTTGGGGGACCAGCCAGACTCAGCAAAAAAAGAAACAATTGTGAACATTAAAAATTGGTCACCTCTTGTAAGAATATATGTGCAAAACACACCCTGTTTGGTCTTTTATCTACTTCCTTTTGTAGAAATATGAGAAAGACATTGGCCAAATCTCAGCCTCCACCCTGACTGCTCCATGAACTCTGAGGTGCCTGAGGGATGAGCACTGTGAGGGCTAGAGGGCTCTGATGTAGACCTACTATGTCCTTTCTGTGAAACTGCATATCTACAGACTTCCTGACAGACTTGCCCATAGTTCATAGGGAAACTGTTGACATATGGACATGGTGGTTCTGCCCCCTACAACACGTACACCAGACATGCATGGATGGTGTAGGGAAGAAATCTGTCAGTGACGCCGTCCACTTGCTGTTGTGGTTATTTATTGCATGTTTGTAAAATGATCTTGTATTTAAGTTAAACAGAGGATTTACAGATGTTTATGGCTTCCCTGACCTTTGGTATTTTCTAAAATGTATAAACACTGCAATGTCACAAACAGGAAGAGACCAACTGAGCAACTGTTCAAATTCATTGCAAAGCACAAGTCATAATTAACCTTTTTTGAATGGTGATGCATTGTTTCCAAACAATGTGTGCTGTCATGATAATATGTCCCATTCCTCCTTTTTATACTATTCAACCCTCATGAGCTCACACACACAGAAAGGTCATGTAACCTTTCACACTAGTCATGGGACATAGATAAACTTTAATCAAAATGAATGATATTTTCACTTAAAAGCTGCATTTCTTGCTCAGAGCTTTGAGAAATAATAAGAATTTTTAAAAAGCACATTAAATGTTTAGAACCAATAATAACATCTCACTAATAAGTCATACCTTCTAGGGACAAAAGGTTTGAAAAAGGTGAAATGCTCTGAAATATAAACTGTCTGGTAAGAAGAAATACCTTGTCTGACCAAAAACAAACATATATTGCTTTGATTTCAGATGCAGATTCAGTCTCTGGACAGGGTTCGGGGGCAAAGCATCACTTGGGATGACAAGATAAACCTGGAGAATAGCAGGAAAGCCCTGTCTGATCTCCACCCAGTTAGGGCAATGTTCATGGACTCTCCTTGACAAACATCCTATCTGAGCAAAATGTAGTTCATTAGCATGCTTAGTATCATCAGATCTGCTGTCATGTCTTGAGGCCTGGCTAGCCTGGGAAACTCCTTAATCAACAAACAGGTATTAAGAGGCAAGGAGGACAAATGAAGCTCTGACAATGTGACAACACAGGAACAACTGGGAATAGGAGCTAGTGCTTAACCCGGCCATTTTCAGCAGGGAACAGAACTGCTAACTTCAACTTGTGGACATAGTATCTAGGAAATGGACCTCTAGTGCACACCAAAGCAGTTTGCAAATGAATGGGCAAAGGTAGTGCTAATCATTAGCATCTGTAAGGTTATGGCTATGCTACGTTGCTAGAAAACCAATGGCCACCTCAAGGGAACTTTGTGTACTTTGGGTTTGGATTGTGAGCATTGCACCAGACTGTCGTAGTGAAGAGGCAACAAAGCAAAGAGAATAGCTCTCAGTTTAATAGATAATAATCCAACTACTTTCCCATACTTATGAACTTCAGGAGATGACTGTATGGAGAGGATGAGCGTAAAAACAAATGAAATTAGTTAACTGTCTGGGCTCATCCAGGAACAGGAGTCTAAGTCAAGTGAGATGGTTTGGACATCTGAATGAGATGCATCCTGTGATCCCTGCAGAAGCATTCTAGACATGTGACAAATGAAGACCCCAAGCATCAATAGGCCATCTGTTCAAGTCAACAAAGTAAAGTGACACACAGCACTGTTTTGGTGGTTAGATGACCCTCTTTAACATGCAGCGCTCACTTCACAATACAATTTCAAGCCATATTCCTGCTCTGTAACCTGAAAATCCACTGCTGGCTCTCTGTTTGGCTGACATATCAACAAGTCCAAAAACAAGATCTGAGTCAATTTCTCTCCCTGCTCATTCCCCAGCACTACTACTAACGGCAATATACACAGTTGCTTTTCCGAGTGGGCTGATATTAGGTTTCCTCACATTTACTGTGCTGGTATTATTTTCTTACCAGCTGCGATTAGAATGTATGGATCCTTCATTAGTGTCAGCAGCGGGGTCCCCTTCTGGCTCTGTGAAGGATAAAGGCACAATGACAACAATCTATGTAATATACAAAAAGGTTATTCTGCAGCACTCACCCAAAACCTATATTTAACAGGCTCTAAAAGGTTTGCATTGGACAGTGGAATCTGCTTTTTAAAGTCCGCCTCTTTTTGTTTGCAGAAACCATTGAAATTACTCAAACTATCAAGATAAACACCCAGAGAAAAATAGCCACTCTTGGGGTATGCACTGACTGAATCCACTGGTACACTGATAATATTTGCTACGTTATGTAATACAGTAAGTAAGATGAGTAAATGCCATAGACTGTATAAAAGATGGACGTAGCTACTGTGACGTCACCCGTTGGTTTCTGCCTTCTCCACTAAGCTCAGGGTGAATGAACAAATATTAAAAAAGGAAGTCTGTGGGTTGGTACAGGAGCCGACTGTGCTGCCTGTGTACACATTGCTAAATCCACATGGTTTCTGTTGAGAAAATGAAGCCAGGGTTTTGCTACTTCCTGGTTGACATCTTGGATTTTTGGAGCCAGTGACGCAAAAATCGCTGGAGGGGGGCGGAGCCATAGGAGCAGCGATTGGTCAGACGGATTGAGAGGCAGGCCCTCTCTGCTCGCCCACATTTACCGCCTTCTGCTCGCTTCATCTGTATGGTCGCTGCCAACTGTCAATCAAGCCAGCCACGCCCCTTGCCCCGCAAAATGTTGATGATTTTTTAATAATTCAGTATTGATTTATTTTCAGATTGGCCACCTGATCTCTGGACTTGACCATGAAAACTAATTTTTAAAAAATCCTAAGCTGTAGGAATGCGGTATTTCGTGATCTGCGATCACTTCTTTTCCAATTCATTTCTATGGGAGCCAGGGCTTTTTTGGAGCCAGGACTAGCGGATGTAGTGATATTGCAGGTTTTTGACACTTCCGGGTTGGCTTCATTTTTTAGGGCCGGTTGCTACGTCTATCTTTTATACAGTCTGTGGTAAATGCACAAACTCTCAAGTAGGGCTGAATCTATTTCAAATCTAAACAACAATTTCAAAACAACACTATTACAACACAAATAGCAATCTAGGACATCCGTGGTGTGGCTAGTAAATAATTAGACTAATGCTGTAGTTTAATGTTAATCAAAGCAGATCAAAACTTTTAGTGGTTGTTTCTGCTGCCCATTGATCACCGTATACTACACGGTTCAGGCTGCACACATAAACCTCATTACTGAATAAGCACAAATCATACATTTTGCAATGTATCTGACCCAGGCTTTAAACTGTCATGTCAATGGTTTTATAAGTTCATGCAATCCGCTTTGTGTGACAGACAGGCTTTTGATGGTGTCTCATGTCCTTATGCTCCATCACATGTTTAAAATCTATTCCACAGTGTACATCAGGGGTGGGCAATCCTGGTCCTCGAGGGCCACAATCCTGCATGTTTTAGATGTTTCTCTCTTCCAACACACCTGATTCAAATGATCAAGATCGTTATCAGGCTTCTGCAGAGCTTGATGACGAGCAGGACCAGGATTGCCCACCCCTGGTGTACATTGAACTAAAGCAGGACTTAAAAGAAATATATTGCAATTCAAATCACAATATCTGTCAGGAAAACTGGAGAACTGGCATGTCACGTGGAATAAATAAGGTCAAACACATTGCACATGAGATTTCCTGCTTGACACGGTACGAGCTCAATGCATCTTGTTCATTATTGAAAAGAACTATTGTGTCTTGCCGCAAGTGTCCTTTGCACCTCATTAAAATTTCTAAGCAGGCCCCTGGATATTTTCTAGAACACCTGAGAAGAAGCAAAGTGAAAGGGTGAAAGAATCTGCTAATGAACATTATTGAACATATTGTTCTACTGCTGGCTTTGCCTCCATTAGCAGCTCTGCTTGGTTGTTATGTCCACTAACATATGAGGTCAGGCTCCTTCCTGAAAAGAAGCAACAGAGTATTCTTTCTTCCTTTTCTGAAGGAGTCATTAATTAGTGTTCAGAAACGGTTTCTGAAGAGTCCACTGAAGCATCTGTTAAAAGACTTTTCACTCTCTTTAAGCCTATAGACTTTTACAATTTTTAGGTCTTACAATAGAGTACATTGAATTATTGTTACATAAAAAAACAATAATGTAGTTGTAAAAATTGTACAGGTGCTGGGAATAAAAGCTGAAATCTGAGTAATCTGGATAATTTAATTCTTCTTCTTTTAATTGACCAGTTGACTCATTAGCCAAATGTCTTTTGGTTACCATTGCTAGTTATACCCATCAGCTCCACAGATCAAAGAAAAGTACCAGTCACTGCTTCAGTATTACTTAATAATTACAGATTCAGGTTTTCTGTGCATAGATCGTTTCAAGATCGTAACTTTTGCTTAATTGGAGTTGCAGGAGTCAGTGTTGGATCCTGAATGCTAAATTACCAGGTGTTTTGTTGCATATCACTCACCTTCTCTATCGCTCCCCACAGTTCCTGTATTTACTATCTAATTAAGAAAAATGCCATAAAATAGACTTTAAGATGTTCTGCGGCTCTAAAGGTCATCTTAATGAAGTGAGACAATCTTCAGGAAATTAATTATCAAGGCAGGCAGACTCACCTCTGGTTCCACCTTGGTGGGCTGAAGAACAAAGAGCTGTAGAGCTGCAAAGACACAGTGAATCAACTTTATGTAAGCCTTTAATATCCAGATCAACAGGGGCAAGATTACATTTTGCAGGAAAATGTTAACTGTTATTCTTACTATTCTTTCTACCCTTACTTGGTTTGAGTGCAAGAAAAAAAAAATGCAACTTTACCTCCGTCAAACACAGCCAGGAAAGCCAAAATAAGGAAAGGAGCAGTCTTCCCAACAAACTCGTACATCACACTGCCAAATGGGGGTCCAACTGTGGAGGACATGCTGGATAGTCAGTGATGGATAGATTGACTTTACAATCACTTCAGCTACTGCAGCTTTTCCTTCATGACAGCTAAGGTTACAACAAGTATGTCAGTTTATTTTTGGGGAAAGCTGTCGAATGCAGCTGGAGATGTAAATGCACACTGAGCATGTACATGTCATTTCTGTAGTGTGATTTGCTGACAATGCTTAAATAAAGTGACGTAAAAAGATTTACACACTTATATTTAAATCTGGTGTCATTTTTTCAGAAGCATCTTAACAAAGGCTGAATGTGAATGTGATACATACCTAACACTCCTAATGCCAGACCTCCCAAGGCGATCCCGATGGCGTGGCCTCTCTCCTCATCATCTGTGTACACACTAGCAAGCATTCCCATCCCTGAAACAACACAGCTCTATACATTAGGCCATACAAACTGCACTAACATCACCAGCACAGCAGTTACTGACACTGGGCATCAAAATTACTTAATAAATACTCTTTGTCATCGACACTACCTATATAAATGGTGGTTATAGGGGTACAATCATGCCAAAAAAATGAACTGTAGACACAATGAAAATTTTGTTGTTAAAACTGTAGTACAGGGAGTCACCCACATATGCACATACAACCCACATACAAGTGTCAACATGTTAAAAAAATGAGTTGGGCCAGAGTCTTTGTTGCTGAAGTCATGCTATGGTCAGATAAAGCCTGCAGCAGGATGTGCTATTTGTGGTATCTAAACTGGCAACGCCAGTCACTTTGGCTAATGAGGATCACTCACAATGTTCCTGAACATCCAGATGTGGCCAGTTCAGCTGACTGAGGCTGCATGCTGCTATTTTTCAGCACTGAGCAGGAGCAGTATGTGCGTCCTATGCATGCAATTTCGTAATCTATCCCAGTTGGTTAAAGTTCTGGAGAGACAGGTCATCAGTAGGTGACAACCTGCCACAATAAATGACTGACGACGAAAAAACTAACAAAAATCACAAAATAAGCCATTATAAATAATGGACCTGGTGCATTGCTTCTGCACTTAAAGACTGAGTGCACATTAGATTGCAACGGCACTGGGAGACCTAAAAACACAAAACAGACTGGCAACCTTGATTGCTCAGTGGTATTGGTAATGATGTCCCTGGTTTATTTGAGCCTGGCTGATATCATACAAACAACGACATGAACAATAAAGTCCTGTATGACAAAATGCTTTTGTAGCAATAAAGGAAGGCACATGCCTCCCTCCTGGAAACACTACAGGTTTTCATTAGCTGGTTAGGATTGGTTTCTTTCACTTAGGCTACAAGCAACCAATTATAAAGCACTAATTTAAATTAATGAGCTAATTCTGTATACAAGAACTTGTACTCATTCAGGGTATGTTGAATAAATGTGTATTCAGAAACTCTGAATAGTGAGTAGTCCATTAGACTAATTAGTTCTAAACATCAAAATGAAACTCAAGGAGATCATACCTGCCACAGAGGAGCAGGAGGAGCCCACACCTTGAAGCGATCTGGCCAGAAACAGCAGAGCGTAGCTCGACGAGAAAGCAAACACTGTACAACAGAACAACAGAAATATAGACAAAGAACCAACAAACATAATAAAAATATGTCTGAAATTCTGATGATAATGTTTGCTGGAACTTACTGATAGTTGATAAGAACATGATACAGAAGCCGATGAATATAGGAAGTTGGTATCCTATTCTATAGGAAAACAGAGAATGAAAGGTAGATGTTACAGTTGTACACTAAGCAGAGAACTTTAAAAAAGACGTTTAAATGGAGAATGCTTTGGCCAGTCAAACATGATATAGCTGCTGTCCTATTTTGTGCTGGTTTTGTTCTGTGTTCATTCATTCTGGCAGCAGGTGAGGCCAAGTGTGGACCATATCCAAAGTCAGTGTGCCATGCGACTGGCTCTCCTCTGGGGTCGCCAAACCCATGGGCAGGACCACTTAAGAACAAAGATGGTGCCACCATGATGCAGAAGGGAAACAAATGCTGTCCTCCTCACCTCCCAACTGGCCACACTGCTGTCGACCACGTGCTCCAATTAGTGAAATGTTCGTCTTTTGGGTTTTTGTAAGAGCAGGTAGGGGTGGACTACCACTTTAGGTTTACCGTTTTCTCCGTTCTTGGTTAGATTGACATTTTATTGATTGTATTTCCTTTTTGTTATTTCCTTTGTTAGGGTATGTTGTGGTGTCTTTATTTTGTACAACAGGTCTTTTTGTTAGTTTGTTGTCCTACATCCACCCTGAGTGTATGTGACTGTATGTCTGTAGAATAATAATCTGTGTTTCAAAACAGCAAATAGCACAACAATGCAATAATATGAAATCCTCATCTAGAAGGCAACAATGATTTAAAAAAGTCACTGGAAACAAGTGTCTTGTAACACCATGAACATAGAGAATTTGCAGAAAATTTGTATTTGCATGACTCATTCATGTCTGCTAACCAAAACACTGCAGGAGGATTCACACTCTCTGATATGCCATTCACATCAGAGCTGTTGTATTTCCCCGTAGATACCTGACATGCTTGACTTGCCTTGTAATGTCCTCTGTGAGGAGGGAAGGTGACTGAGAACCAGTAATAGGACTGTGTTCTTTTCCTCAATTACAGTATATGTGAGTGCCCATCTGAGACACTAAATACTGGCTTTGAGGTGAATGAAAGTATTGTTGGAGTAGTCTCACTTCTCTGTCTACC